ATCCTCTCCTTTAATCCTAAGTCAATTAACATAACATGCCTAAATATCTAAAGCATTCTCAACATCTATGCCTCAACAATTCAACAATTAATCAACACATCTGTCCAAATGCCTAAAACATTATCAATATCATGTCTCAATAACTCAACAATTATCCATCTATATGCATTATCCTAGATCAATGAATATAGAACTAACAATATTAATCAACATGCAACTTGCAATAGATTCACCTAATTTATCCATGTTTACCATTTAATCAAACAAACAACAAGTTTCATAAGGTAATCCACGCATAGTGTGATACATCTTGCACGCAGTACCATTCAGACAAAGAGTTCTCTGTCTCGCCTACACCTGATGCCATTTAGCCCATGCTTAATGTGTATGAGGTAGGGAACCTCTAGACTCTTACGCCTGGCATGACAAAGCCTACACTCGACCTCATTTTAGGCACAACGCCTCTACTTGATTTAGGGATGAGAATAAGTTAGACCCTAAATAAGGGCCTATGGTTTGGTCTTTTTAAAGCTTCGGTTAACCTAATCTAGTTAATAAAAAAGGTCAAGTTTAAATTAAAAAAAACATATTTATATAAAAAGGCTAGACTTAGATTTATAGAAAAATCTGTTAGACTTGATAAATCAATCTATTTATTTGTATAATATAATAAAAAATTAATACATATATATTATTAAAAATATAAATAAACAAATAAATTTATAAAATAAAAATAAATTATCAATATTTAAAATATCTTTTTATACAATTATTTTTTCATTATAAATTTATAAGCTTACGAACTGTACATGAATGTACATCAACGTACATGGTTACACATGAATTGTTCATTCAATAGAAAATAATTCATTTTTTCTCCTATATTTCTTTTAAAATTTAAATTTTAATAATATTGAGTAAACTATATTTTAAAAATAATTTTGTTAATTTTTAAAAATTAAGTTTATTGGTTTGATTAACGTTAATAATTTAAATAGACTTTTAAATAGGCTAATAGGTCTGGCTTGGCCTATTCCTATCCCTAACTTGATTCATGTTTGGCCACTCCATTGACGCTTAACGTCAATTCAAGTAGAGATAATTCTCTCTCTTTATGCTTAACGCCATTCAACTTAATGCTTTATATGACCAAGTCAAAGGCAATTCTCTTTTGTCACGCTCGACACCACTAATCTTATGCTCGGCGCAAGTAAAACAGAAAGCCCCTTATTTGAGCCATGTCTGACACCATGAAGGCATGCCTTGTGATGGTGAATTGTGCATTTGCAGATTCATGATATTGTTCTTTTCACCTAAAAACTTGAAACATGCAACATACAACAACATATCCATACATCTCAAATAGCTAATTTCTAACAAAAAACTCAACATGCAACTATCATTGATCAAACTATCAAATTTCACCTCACAAACCTTATGAACAACAAAACTCCCATTCTCAATTCAATAACAACATAATCACCAAGGCATGCAAATCAAGCAACCATCAAAGAGGAAATCAACATAAATAATTCAAAATCAAAAGTATCAAATATAGCTTCCCTTACACCAAAAATCCAAGAGAAAGACAGAAACAAGGAAGAAGAGGGAGCTCCACCAAGAACTCTGTATGACTCTCCAGAGGCTCTAATTCTTAGCTCTACATGCTTTGAATCACTAACAAGTAATCTCAGCTACAAGTACTTGGAGGTCAGTAGAAGAAGAGGGATCTTATTGGCTCTAGAGTTCTTCTCTTTAGTTTATGTCTCTAAGTTTCTTTGAGGAATGAACTTATGAGGCTCTAGTCTCAAAAGAAACCTTATATATTTTCCTTTCAAGGTCAAATTGGACATTTGTCTAAAGAAACTCTCTAAACACCTAAAACTCCTAAGAAGTTCCTTAACCCTTAGAATTTCTCAACAACAAACTCCAAAACACCACAACATACAATTATTGAAAGAAATGACAATAATTAACAAAAAAAAATACAATGTTACATATTTTACAAGACGTTTTTAGTAAAATTCATATATAATTCACTCATCCAAATATCTTAATAAAACTTTTGAGATTTCACATGAATTTTTTTTCTTGTTTATTTTTCTCTCGCCTTTTTTCTCTTCTCATTTTTTTCCTTTCTCACTCTCTTTCTGTTTCTCTATTATTTTCTTGACTCTCTCTTTTTCTCTCATATTTTTTTTCTCTCTTTCTCTCTTCTTATGTCTTTTGTATCTCATATTCTTTTTCCTCATTTTGTTTCTCTTTTTCTCATTTTCTTCATCTCTCTCATTTATTTATTCTTTTTCATCTCTCTATTTTTTCTCCTATCTTTTTTTATTTATCAATATTTTTTGGTTACATTTTTTTATCAACTTAATGCTTTACATGACCAAGTCAAAGGCAACTTTTCTTGCGCTCGACACCACTAATCTTAAGCTTGACGCAAGTAAAACAGAAACCCCCTTATTTGAGCCATGTTTGATACCGTGAAGGCATGCCTTGTGTGTGATGGTGAATTTTGCACTTGCAGATTCATGATATTGTTCTTTTCGCTTGAAACTCGGAAACATGCAACATACAACAACATATCCATACACCTCAAATAATTCATTTATAATAGCAAACCTTATAAACAAACCATCAAATTTCACCCCACAAACCTTATGAACTATCAAATTTCACCTCATAAACCTTATGAACAACAAAACACCCATTCTCAATTCAATAACAACATAATCACCAAGGCATGCAAATCAAGCAACCATCAAAGAGGAAATCAACATAAATAATTCAAAATCAAAAGGATCAAATATAGCTTCCCTTACTCCAAAAATCCAAGAGAAAGTGAGGAAGAAGAAAGAAGAGGGAATTCCATCAAGAACTCCGTACGACTCTCGAGAGGGATTTAGCTCTACATGCTTTGAATCACCAACAAGTAATCTCAGATACAAGTATTTGGAGGTTAGTAGAAGAAGAGGGATTTCATTGGCTTTAGAGTACTTCTCTCTAGTTTATCTTTCTAAGTTTCTTTAAGGAATGAACTTATGAGACTCTAGTTTCAAAATAAACCTTATATACCTTCCCTTCAAGGTCAAATTGAACATTTGTCTAAAGAAATTCTCTAAACACCTAAAACTCCTAAGGAGTTCCTTAACCCTTGGAATTTCCTCAACAACAAACTCCAAAACACCACAACACACAATTATTGAAAGAAATCACAATAATTAACAAAACAACGTACAATGTTATAGATTTTGTAAGACTTTTTAGCAAAATTCATATATAATTCACTCATCCAATAATCTCACTAAAACTTTTGAGATCTCATATGAATGGTTTATTTTTCTCTTTTTTTTTTCTTTTTTCTCTCACCTTCTTTGTCTTTCTTTCTTTTTCCTTTCTCACTTTCTTTCTTTTTCTCTATTATCTTCTTCTTCTCTCTCTCTTTTTCTATCTCATATTTTTTTTCTCTCTTTCTCTTTTCTCATGTCTTTTGTATTTCATATTCTTTTTCTCATTTTGTTCCTCTCTTTCTCATTTTGTTCATTATTTATTTCTTCTTTTTCTTCTCTCTATTTTTTCTCCTATCTTTTTTTTTAATCTATCAATATTTTTTGGTTACATCTTTTTTATTTATTTATCAATAATGATGTATAATTTATCAATATTTTTTAATAATTAAATATTTAATTTCTTTTGAATTATTAAATATGATATATTATTAAAATGTGTAAATTATTAAAATTTAACAAATGTTTATATTTTTTTTTAATAAAATTTAATATTGAAATATCAAATTTTTAGACATATGTTAAAAGTATATCTTGACAATTTTACTAGTTAATGAATATTATAAATTTGAATATATTGTTCAAATTTAATAGTATGAGTAAGAAAATATAAATGCATAAAAAATTGTATGTACAAATATTTTATTTAACAGAACATAAAATCAGAATCAATTATTTATTAAAAGATTGAAAAATTTATGAATTTGATTTTCTGTATTCAAATCTTGTCATTTATATTATTTTTTAATTAATTATATTATTTTTTTTAAATCCATTTTATCTTTTGAAATCTAATAAAATTTTTTAAATTTTATAAATTTTTAAGATACAAATTTAATAATATCCATATTACAAAATCTTAATTATTATTTTTTAAATCTTAAGCCATTAAAAATGCTACACAATACTTTTTTTTTTTACTAATAAAATTTTATAAAATCCCAATTTAATACGCCTCGCTCTTTCTCAAACACACTAACATGAAAATTTTGAAGTTTTTTTTTAACTCAAGACTTAACAACGAAGACATATTCGATGACTGTTTTTTGTTCATAAATTGAAAACTGTATATATTTTCTTACAAATTATTCTTCTATCTTATAACAATCAAATAATAAATAAATATATTTAATATATAAAAAATAACACATTCAATATCTATTATAAAAAAAACACTAGAGTTGATATAAAGTTCAAATAATTCCATAAAGTCTTATATTTTAATTTTAATGCAGTCATTGTTCACAAATAAAAACAAAAATAAACACTTATATTGGTTCTTAATTTGAAACACACTATCATATTAATTCCTGAGATTAAGAAATTATAAAATTAGTTTCAAAATTAGAATTAAAAATCACATTAATTTATAAAATTAAAGTATTAATATTGATATATATTGAAGATTAAGTTTTTTAATTTTAGGAACCAAGACCTACTTTAAAAATTTGAAAATAAAAGTGAGCATTTATAAAAAAAAATAAAATACTATAAAGATAAAACAAACTAATAAAAACATGATCGGATATTTACAATTATCAGAAACAAACTAGGAAAAATTTAAATCGAGTCAAAAGAAAAAAAGAAGGAATAATTTGAAGTTTTTAACCATGTATTGAAGAAGGAAGGAGCATAAAAAAAAAAAAAAAAAAAAAAAAAGAAAGTCAAAGGCAAAAGCAAGAACACTAGAAGAACGCTGGTAGAAGAAAGGAACAGAACATAAATAAAAGAGAGTCTTCATTTTCATTCATACATTTGTGTCTTCCTTTCCCCTTTCTTCCGTTTCAGACAGGACCTTTGGCACCGTCCTCAGTCACATTGTTAGCAACCTTTGTTTTTCTTTTCTTTTTGTTTTACCCTCACAAAGTTAGGAAGGAAGGTGCCACGTCACCATCACAGCTTCTCCACCAAATCCAAAACCAAAGTTTCCAATTTTCTCCGCTTCATAAATACACACCCCATTGGGTGAAGATTCTTCTGTGTCGTTGGATTTTGTTTCTGTCTTTGTTGAGTGTGTCCAGTGTGAAGACTTGAGATGGGGAATTCATTTGGGTGTTCGGCCTCCGGCGAGAGGTTGGTGTCGGCGGCGAGGGACGGCGATTTGGTGGAGGCGAAGATGCTTCTAGAATGCAACCCTTGTCTTGCAAAGTATTCGACTTTTGGGGGTCTCAATTCACCTCTTCATTTTGCAGCGTCGAAGGGCCATAACGAGGTTTCAAATTTCAATTCTCATCCACCCCTTTTGCGTTTTTCTCCCTTTTGTGTCTCAAAGTTTCTGTTTTTACCGTTTTTCTTGACCCCCTTTTGATTCTCCATGTTTCTGTCCCACTGTTTTCTGATTTTCTTATCCGGGTCTCCGTTAGATTGTCGCATTGTTGCTTGAAAATGGAGCTGATGTGAATTCGAGGAATTATTGTGGGCAGGTACGGTTTCCGTTTTGATGTTTTCTTTTTTAATGTGTATTTAATATGGCTTGTTGATTTTGAGTCTGGATTCAAGTTTCGTGGGTGTTGGTATTGATTTGATGATTTTACACGGTTTGATTGCATATGGGCTGAATTTAGGTTAATTTCGATGTTTGGAGATTATGTTGTGTGTTAGAAATTGGTAAATGGAATTTTCCTATTTTTGAGTATGATTCTATTCCATGTGGGCGGCATGGCTAGCGTGTGCTTTATTATTATTCACAGATCGGTGGATCTAGTGCCTACTCAGTAGGTGCCAGCATGATAATGTGAAAGTTGTGCACAATTTTCTTTGGATTTATGTTGCCTTTCTTTTTAATGCACGTGTATGATGTACTGATTCAGAATACGGTTTACTAATTGAGATTTTGGTTTGGTTTGATCCCTTGATTTGAAGACCGCTTTGATGCAAGCTTGTAGATATGGTCACTGGGAAGTTGTACAGACCCTTCTGCTCTTCAGATGCAATGTGAGTATGAATAATGTGACATGTATGATTAACATTTAATTGTAACTTCTAATTGTAGATATTAGCATAAAATTTTGTATTTAATTCCCTTATTGTGCAAAAACCCTTTAGACGAAAAATAGTCACAGTATTACAAACGAGATTAATTAGTTTATAACTCAATAAATTGGTGATATCCATGATAAACCTCCAAATAGATCATTTTAATTTAAGAAATTAGTATCTGATTCTCGGTTCTAAAAATGACTACTAACCATACATAGGAGGCATGCATTCATATGGGAGGAGTTCAATGTCTTTTTCTGTCTTTTAGTTATATCCGAGCTGTCCTATGGAGACCATAAGTCATGGGGTTGGTCTTCAAGTGTATTTTCCTATTTACATGGTTAAGGTTTGTTTTCAAGTATGACTAGACTGTAGCCAATTCGGTAACAGGTTATGAAAGCAGATTATCTCAGCGGGAGGACAGCTCTTCACTTTGCAGCCATCAATGGGCACGCAAGATGCATTAGACTTGTTGTGGCTGACTTTGTTCCAAGTGTTCCTTATGAAGCTTTACATTCTCGCATGGATGCTGAGGGTAATGGATCACATGTGAAACACAAAAATGAACAAAGGTGTGCCTTTCCTTTTCATTATGTAATTCTTTAAACAATTTATCATTGCAGTGAGATTCTTATGTTATGTTTTATTTTTGGCTGATATGGTTGAATTGCTCTTATATTTTTATCATTTCTGTCATGCTTGGATTAACAAAAAAACGGTGACTTTTACGACTGGTGTGTGGCATGGGAACTGTGTATCTCAGAGGATTGTCTTTTATATACATATATGTATATATATATATATATATATATATTTAAATATGAATGTGGTTTGCATACATGTCATTATAATTTATCTTTACAGGTAAAAAAGTCGTTAATTTATTCCTCCAAAATGTAAAAAAATTTCAAAATAATTTCTGACATTTGGGTCCATCAAACACTACCACAATTTTGGTGTCTTTTTGCTGATGTAGGTCGGCCACTTTTGACATGCCAATTACACATCTTTTATCAAAATATATATTAATTTTTATATTGTATGTGTTCCATTACATAAGTTTAATTTGGGTTAAATATGTTTTAATGCTCTTAGATTTATGTTTTTTTGTAGTTGATCATGAATTTGTGCTTCTTTATGTCTTTGTTAGTTGTATATAGTATGTTTTATTATTGATCAGGAATCTCAAGGATCACTCGGAAAATAGACCTTGCAGTTCATGATTTGAATCTCAATTCAACTACCATGCCTTGCATTGATGCATTTTTTTGTTGTTGACAGAATTGATGTATTTATATACTCTATTTTTTCTACATTTTAATGTATATGCATTTAAACATTTAGTTACTGTATAGTCTACTAATTACATAATAGATGAAAATATTATTTGCGGGAGATATACTTAACTTTTCTGTGGGAATTGACAGTGAGATTTCTTTTAATTTTATTGATAATAAAAATGTTTCGAGGCATGGCTATCCTACAAAGTTGCAATTTCTGTATGTTATCTTCTTGCTATTTATTAACTTTATTCCAGTGCAGTGCGCTGTCCAAGTTTGTAAACAAAACTGCAGATGCTGGTATTACTGCCCTTCATATGGCTGCATTAAATGGGTACTTTGATTGTGTTCAACTGCTTCTAGATCTCAATGCAAATGTGTCAGCTTCGACATTTCATTATGGAACATCAATGGATTTAATAGGTAATCTTTTGTGTAACAGGCTGACAAATGTATGGTTGTTTTCTTTCCTTCTTGAAAATTACTAATGTGCATTGATATAGGGGCTGGAAGCACTCCATTGCATTATGCTGCTTGTGGAGGCAATTTAAAATGCTGTCAGGCAAGAATTTCTTCAACTTTGATGTGCTATTCCATTTGGTCTTTTCCTTTGAAATATGTCATGATGCTCTTATTTTTTCAGATCCTCCTTGCAAGAGGTGCTAGTCGGATGGCTTTGAATTGCAATGGGTAAGATACTGTAAATGGAAATTTTGGCACAAACTTTTTCTAGCCTATAACATATGAATTTGAAATTTTGTCAACCAGGTGGCTTCCACTTGATGTTGCTAGGATGTGGGGACGTCATTGGCTTGAACCATTGCTGGCACCAACTTCTGATGCCACAATATCATCATTCCCTTCTTCAAATTATTTGTCCTTGCCTCTCATGAGTGTGCTCAACATTGCCAGGTAATTTTGCGGTCAATATATCTAGATAATGAAAATGGTAAAATAAAGGGTGTATTTGTGTACGTCTAATGTGATGTGAGAGTTGTTCTGTATATCTTCAAATATTGGGGGCTAAATATCATTAAAGGGTTTAGTAAACGGCAAAATAATTTTGGGAAGATGTGAAAGTTGATGTGTATCTAACCTAATTTTCTTGAACAAAGAAATAATGGATTATATATAAGAAAGACTCAATTATGAATCTAAGATGGACTTTGTTCATTTTCCAGATGTGCTTAATGGGATGCTGTGATTTCATACTTTTCACTGTTTGTCTATCTGTTAAATAATTATACATTTTTTTTTATTTGTGCACGTCTAATGTGATGTCAACAAATATACTTTGAGGAAATGGCCAAGGGTCTTAAGATTTTAGATTTCTTATTAAAATTATCAAACAAGAGATGACTAGAATGGTTAATGTTGTTGTAAAAACCCAAACAATTTAACTTGATTTTCCTTGCATGTTTGAGAGGGAAGGATAAGGATTAACTGAGTATTTAATATTCATTATTCAACCTATGGGACTAATGGCACTATTCTTGATTTCAGTGGCCAGTTTGTGAGATAAGAATCAAATGAGTATCCTCTCACTTCCTGCTTGTGAATCCATTGCTATTTTAGTGTGCATAAATAGAAATTCATTCGAATTTGTCTGGTTTGAATGAATTGTAGTTTTCAATATTTTGAGTTGATTTTTTTGCACTTGAGTCATGTAACTTATTATACACGAGGGTAATAAAGCACATCACAAATACAAAATCAACTCCATTAATCTCTAATGTGTTGCATAGATAGAATTTAATTTGTAAGTGAACTCAAATCCCACTTTTCGTAATAAATTCCAAACATGTGAATTTATTGTTAAATCAAATCAAATAAATCAAATTTCATTTTTTGACGATTCCAAACATAACCTCATGGTTCATCTTCCACATAATTGCATTAGTTAGAGAGCATGGTGTGGTAGGATATTCATCTTAATTATAACTAAACTGTGTCTATTGTTTGTATATTAGTTTTTGGGTCCTCTTGCATAACATATATAGAGGGGCATATCAAGTGAGAGAGATTTTATTATGAAAGAGTGAAAGGAGTCAATCTTAGTCATAAGAGAAAATCATAAAAGATGAAAATTAAATCACAAAATCATATGACCTTTTTTAGTGGTATCGTGATCATTAAATAACTTCGAATCCTATTATCCATGTATAGTTGTATGGTTGAGATTTACTCTTCTCAGTTCTCACCCTTTTATATAAACATTCCTCTCACTTAGGGAAGGATTCCGATCCTCTACAGTCCCGGAAGAAACTGCACCATGCAGTTCCATATCTGACCCTTAAAATTCATAAAATTTAATTTTAAATATTAATTTATAAAGTAAATCACGTTATCCTCCCCTGAAAAATAAGAGTATTATAGTGTTCTCTCTTCTTATGTTAAAATATATAGTCTAGTTTATTTAACTTAGCACCATTAATGTAAATTACACTTCTCTAGAAATATATGAAAGTATTACACTATTCACACTTCATATTATCAAAATATCAAGTAAATTACATTTTTATCCCTTAGAGATAAAACTATTATACTATCACTCACATATTATATTAATTTAGAGTATTTAACTTAACATCACTAAAGAATAATCATCATAAGATTTAAAAATATATTTTTAATTTAATTATTCATAAAAGTATTCTTTAAATTTAATCATTCATCAAAAATATATTTTAAAAATATTTTTAGTTCATTGTTATCATTCAGTTGATTAAAAATTTAAAAATATAGTTAAACTTAAATTAATTTATTAAAATAATAAATAAAATAGAAACTGTAAAATAAATTATATATATACTTATATATAATATAAATTAACACACACGCACACACACACACGCACACACACAGACACGCACACACATGCACACACACAGTGTGTGTTTGGTTTGAATTTATAAATGTAATTTTTCACTCTCTCTCCACGTTTTGAAACAAATTTACGTGGAAGTTACAATCATAAAACTCTAGTTTATTTAGATATTATAAAATATTTTATTAGAAACATCAATTAAATAATACTTTGATACTTATATGCTACCTTTAATATATATATATATAATCAATAGATTCAATACTATATAATGAAAACACCATTTTATTTAAATGTTTATAAAAATATTATATTAAGTACATTGATTAAATATTATTTTAATGCTGGTCTTCGATTTTAATAAACTTATATATATATATATATTATTTTTATTTTGAAATATAACTTTAAAATATTTTTTAAAATTACTAACATTTTTTTTGCTTAAAATATATAATTAATTTAGCAAAATTTATAATAAAAAATTAAAATAATCATTAAATATATAAATTAAGAGATAAATTATTAAAATGTAACATATTTGAATTTGTTAAGGAGAAAAATGTTTATTTAAGCATAAGAAAGAATGATGGTGTAATATTTATATCTGTAAGGGAATGTTAATGTAAAGGTATTTTGATAATAATTTTTTTTTGTAATGGAAGTTAAGGGGTAAAGTCTTATATATTGGAATTTGTTGAGGGAGGGGATTGCAATTTTTAACTTAAGAGGAGAGGACAGTATAATATTTGTATTTCTCAGGAGAGGGGATTGTAATTTACTTTAATTTATTTTATAATAAAATAAAATCAGTGGATGGGATCCATGCAGTTTTTCTGAAAACTGCAGAGGATCAAAATCCCTTAGGGAATGTATCTAATGAGATTTTTTTTATTATTATGTGAGAATGAAAATAATAAATATTAAACGATTAGATCTTATCATGGTTTATGAATCATCAAGATTAAAACACATAAGTCATGCGAGTATGTTTAAAAGTCACATGACTCTTTTAAGTAAGACCACGTGACTTTAAATCTTGACTATTTATGTACGATTATATAACTCATTTACTCTTCTGATTTTCATAAAAATGACTACTAGATATGCCCTTTATATATATATATAACCTTGTAGATGACATATATATTGGTATTATTTAAATAATTTTTTTTGCACTTGTTTCTTTTGACGAAATATTTCCAAAACAGAAATATTATTTTACAACAGTACAATAAGCTCTCTTTCTCTTCTATATTCCCTTTATGATATAATACTAACAGTAATAATTACAAACAATAGGGTCGAAGACCTTGTGAATTCTAGCTACATGCCCTAGATCACTACTTAGAACCTAGGATTCCATCCATGTTTATCTATCTTGCCAGTGGTATCAGTTGGCCTTTAAAAGAAAAATAGTTGCAAAGTTCTCATTATATAATTGCTCACACAGTACTTGCTAAATTGAATGTATTAAATATGCATCATAGCTTTCGGCAGTCTCTATTGCAAATATAGTCAAAATATTATGTTTATCATATATATGAAATGGTGCTTGAATAGAGGCTAATCTTGAATGGGACAAGTGAAACAGAGATTCTGTTATAATTGTCTCAGTAGTTAACTTACCCAACTTTGGTATGAAAGTGATTTATTGTATATATTCAATACAAGGTGTAGGCTGTGACACATGCTGACAGCACTAGGTTTCCTTATGTTCTTGGTATAGGGCATATTAGAAAAACCTATATTCATGATGGAATATTTCCTTTACATTAGGTGGGGCCAAAGTCTTTTTCATTGTGGCTCCTCCCATTTGTCTTGTTTGAAAATATAAACAAAGATCTTGCCTATTCTATGATTCTTAAAGGCACTCACTGTATAATTCTTAAAGATCGCATAATGATGCCAAAAGAACTGAAGTTACCAATTCCTTGAAAGAGAAAATTACATTTTGCTGATGTTGTCCTTTTCCTTATAAGTTCAAATATTTCTCTGTTGTTTTCTCCCGATGCAAATGTAAGATTGATTTGAAATTTGAATTACTGCAGAGAGTGTGGATTGCAATCAAGTACATCCTCCTCTAATGAAAATGATGTTTGTGCTGTCTGCCTGGAGAGGCCATGTTCAGTGGCTGCCGAAGGTACTGAATCCTACATTTTGCATATTTGTTTAAATTATACATGCTTGCTTGTCTGCATGAGGATATTTGATGAACTGCACTTCTTTTCTGAAGTAACGAAGGAAAGCAATATGAGATTTCCTGAGCCAATGAAATCCAGTCATATATCATTGAATTATTCCCATGTTTTCTTTTTCCTCATTTTGAAAACCCGGGGAGGGGGTTTCATACTCTGATACTATTTTTGCAACTTTCTTTTCTTTATGCATTCATGTTTACAATATTTGAAAATGGAAAACTTAGTAATCAAGAGGATTGAGGAAGCTCATGGTGTTTGGATTGTCAAAATCTCATGATACCATGTTAGAATTCATGGTGCAATGAGAATTGAGAGATAGAGAATTTGAGAATTTTTATTCAAATAAGAGAATGCTAGGGTACAAGTATTTATACTGAGCTTATACTTGTACCCTAGCATTCTCTTATTTTTAGTAGAGAAGTTCTCAAAAGCATATCTAAGCTTATATTCAAACAGATTTTAAGTCATTTGTGAAAAGGGTTGCACAAGAGTGCTTGAAATTTGAGCTTACTTGTGGATGCTTTTCATAGTGCAACTGATCTCAAGACTTTTACATGCAGGATGTGGGCATGAGCTTTGTGTAAGATGTGCACTTTATCTTTGCTCAACAACCAATGTTTCTTCTGAATCATCTGGAGGACCTCCTGGCTCTATCCCTTGCCCTCTTTGTAGGCATGGAATTGTCTCTTTCATCAAGTTACCAGGCTCCCAATCCAAAGAAAACAAATTACACGTGTCCCTCAGCCTGTGTACGCCATGCATGCTACATCCGTGTCACCTGGACCGACAATCTCTTCATACCCCCGAGATTCGAAGGAACCGTGTGGCTTCTGTTCCATCGGAGATGCTTTGCCCCGTCACTTGTACTCCATTTCCATCTGTAGCAATTCCTCTGTGTACATGCAATGATGGTCCTTGTCCAACATTTGAATCCCGGGAAGCTGAAACGCAAGATGATTCGCCTCGTCACTCACAAGCATTGACAATGGATCAGGATAAAATGGATGGTCCTAGGTTGGAGAAAACAACATGCTCAAGCATGTTTTGGGGTAGAAGAAGTTGCAGCAGGGAGCATCAATGCAATTCAGAAATAAATGCTTGATCCAATATATTGGTATATGGCCGTTCTTATATTGTGGATACTTCATATATACAATCTTAGATGAAGAAAGAAGTCTATATAGTTTATCTTATTAACCAGCCTCATATGGTGAAATCCAGTGGATGTATATCAAGAGGAAAACTGCTATGCAGCTCATTTTTTCATGCACAGGCTGCATGTGATGTGATGGAAATGGATAATCTTGCATGTCAGCATTCCACCACCTTTTTAGTTTCCAGTTATGATATTTAGAGAGCGTTAGTGAAATTAGTATGAGCTGGTTGTTATTGCAATTGGATTTCATTTTTATCATAGAAAACCAAGTGTTCTTTCAAGAGGAGGGAGAAGAAAAATACCTTTATGTTTTGGCACGTCTCAGATTTGTTTGTGTAGTATATTGTTTGTCATATATTCTATAGGTTTACAAGAACAACTTTTGATTATTGTAACGGCTTGTTGATGCATTTGTAATTGCACTTTTTGTGAACTCGAGGGTGTTTCTCCTATAACACTCGATGTTAGCTGAAGTACTTTTTCAACAAATTGTCCCTGCATCATTATTTGTTTCCGTTCGGAGCACTTCTATGAGAATTATAGTGACAGTTTAATTAGGGAAGGAAATATATTTTTAGTTTTTGAATGAACAAAATTTAATTTTGGTCTTTATAATTTTTTTTCTTTCTCCCAAGATTTAAAATTATTATTTTTAATTTTTATTTTTATGTAACTATTTTTATCTAGTTATGTGTTCTTTAAAAGGTTAAATGATCATTTTAAGTGTTATCTACAATTGTTAATATATTATATTAGTCTATGATAATTTTAAAAAGTTTTATAGGATTTTAAAATAAATATTATTTATATATTTAAAAATCATTATTGGGAACTAAAAATAATGATTTTAGATTTTAGAGAAAAGAAATTTAAAAAATAATGTTTTTTTTATAGGAATCAAAAGCAAATTTTATTTATTTTATATAGGTCAAGAGGGGATAAGTGAGAATTGCTTGGTAGAGGAGAATTAGGTGAGAAATATAAGAAATTAGATATTTTAAAATTATATTTTATATAATTAGATTTTTATGTTAAAATAAATAATATATACAATTACCATTTTACACATCTTTTTATATTGAAGTGGGGTTATAT